CCGAGCGTTGTCATGAAGAAAAATAACTTTATCATGTCTTTGCTCGTATTCCGGCCGTTTTTCTCGCAATGCACGGCTGAAACGAATCAATTGTAGCCGATACCGATCGCCCGTAATGGAATCGCCAGGTTTCAGCAACTCATAGTAAACAACACCCTTTTGATCGTACCAGATACAGAGCATGATCTTCGAACCATGAATGTTCGGCTTTGGTGTTGATGTTGAGGTCGATGGCAATGATTAATCGGGCTTAGCGTAATATTTTTTTTTCTTGGGGTTGTCGTAGAATATCCATTTCTCATCTCCAGTCACAATCCGATGCAAAAAACCTTTTCTTGTTGTCTTTGAATCAGCTGTTCACAAGTGAAAAATCACCTTTCAACGTCTCTCGGTTTCAGTTCATAAGGCATCCAATTTCCTTGTTTTTGAATTATTCCGATGTCAAATAAACGTTTAAAAAATATTTCTTCCAAACATCATTTCAAATGAATAGTTGATGTAAAATAAACGTTCAATTAACATTAAATAAATATTTAAAAAATGTTTTTTTCATCGTTATTTGAAGTAAAAAATTAATATAAAACAAACATTTCATAAATGTTAAATAAACATTTAAAAAATGTTTTTTTGGACAGTTATTTCAAACGAAAAATGAATGTAAGACAAACATTTAATAAATGTTAAATAAATGTTTAAAAAATATTGGAGTACAAATTAATTCGGTCCGTTTTCCAAAAGATGGCTCCGGTTGTTGTGAATGATTCATAGAATGACAGCTGATTTTGGCGTTTTCAGAGACATCTGCTAATAATATTCAGTTTATATCGCTTTGAGTCACTGCTCTAACTGATAAATCATATACAGAATGGTTTCGACGTTTCAAGGATGGAGATTTCAATGTTGGAGACAAGCCTCGCTCTGGACAGCCAAAAAAATTCGAAGACAAAGAATTAGAGGCATTACTCGTAGAAGATCAGCGTCAAATGCAAGAGGAGCAAATAACTTAACAAGCCGTTTCTGCACGATTGAGAGCCATGAGAATAATTCAAAAACAAGAAAATTGGATGTCTTATGAACTGAAACTGAGAGAC